TTTCACAGTATCTAGCTCTGTAATCATTGTTTCCCCGTTCCTGGTTTCGCGCGACAACGTTGCGCAGCTACTTATTTTTAAAAGTGATATGACCATCCCAACGTACATACGTATGTAATTCGTAATGATCGACACTATACATAAGACTGATTGATCAAAATTTTAAAATATGTATGATTCACTTTTTTTCATTTTTTAGAAGTGTTCCAGATTAGATTTTATTATAATCGATCGCATTGATAAAAAAAAAAAGTAATTAGTTATGATGTGATCGATCACCATCTCTAATTCAAACTATCATTGTAACTTTCGATTTACGCGGGAGTTTAGCATTTCGCCAGGGGTTTTATCTTTCGTTTCTCGCCATTACATAAAATGGCTTCCCCTAACAACCACATCCAGACGGTTTCCCGCTTTGAACCATCGGATCACACCGTTTCCATTATACGGGGAAAACTGAATATGCTTGGTTGGGATGAAACATGGCGAGGTTTAGACTGTACTATGCAATGAATATTATTATATTATCGTCCTTTTTTGAAGACAATAAACTTCCAGGGTTATATATTGGTCGCACTAATCTTGGGAGACGTTATGATTATGGGCCATAGGTTACATGGTGGATCAACCCAGCAAGATAGCATGGAGTTCATGGGATCCTCAATTATAACGATGATCTCATCTTTTATCCAGCTTATTCACCAAAAACCCACTCATTGGTTTCCATAGAATCAGTTGAAAACCGAGAAAATGTGCCAATATTTTCAAACCGCGGAATTAAAACTTCCGAGAACATTAAAGAAACCATTAATTATCTTTTGATAAATCCGGTATTGTCAAAAAAAAACTTTGATACCACTTTAGCATTCCGAGAAATGATATGGTGTGGTATTCAAAGAATATCATTAAAGGCATATTTACGTCCGAGCACGTAAATTCATCCAGAAATAATCAAAGTGATGAAACTATTTTTATAAAAAGAAATTTATTCCAAATTCCCGGATTTTATCCGGTATAGTTGAATTGTTCAACTGGTTATGATATTATTAAATTTTATTTTAGATAATAATGATCCTTTCTTAGATTTTGAAGTTATATCTGGGCTATCATCATTTCAAATTTCTGATTCTTGGCTGAATAGATGGAATCAACCCGCTATTGATGTAGTTAATTATACTATGTGCTTTAAAGACATTATAACTTGATGGTAATAATGGCTTTAAAATTAATCTTAGAAGTGCCACCTATCGCCATTATTTGTGGACATCGAAACGTTGGAAAATCAACTTTTGCTAAATAACAATATGCTTAATTTGTATGGTATCGATTCGTTATTAGACGATCTGCATGATAACAAGTGTGTCAGCAAATTTTAATTTTTATAAATTTCTTACCATACGTATTAGTTGTCCTAAAGTTGCTTATATTGAAAGCGATGTTGGACAATCAGAATTTACGCCATCCGGATCCGTATCTTTCAACATATTGAACTCACCTATTTTTGGTATGTATTTCGACTTTTTTGTCTCTTTTTCTCCTTTTCGTTTATCTTGCTCTAATAAACAATTTATAAATAGGATCGCCATTTACTCACATCCAACAGCCTTATAGATCTTATTATATTGGCAGCAATACTCCTCTTGATGATCCCAATTATTATTTGGATTGTTTACGTGAATTGGTAATTGTTTATCGTTGTGATATCGCCTTGGTCCAGACTTTGGCATGCATGTGGACGAAGAGATACAACGCATTCCATTAATTTTAAATACTCACGGGTGAACATAAGGTATTCAGATTAATATATAAATCGATAAAAAAAATGTCGAGACTGGACCAAAGGGTTGACAAAGGGAATTTTCGTTTTGTATGTGTTAAACGGTTCAATTGTTGGTTAAGTTGAAGTATTCTAGATGTAGACGAAAATTTTGAAATAGTCGATAAATCAGAAGTATTACAAGAAAAAGGAATAAGGATGGTACGTATCCTTTAACAATTATGTGTTAATATGATCTAATATAGTAAAACTATAATGTATTCTAAATAATAGCAGCCTCCACGTTATTTTCCATCCACCCCAGATCCATCTGAATATACATTTTTAGGACTTGCTATTATACGGTCTATAGATCCAGTTGCTCACACCTTTCATATTGTAACACCACTTTCATATGTAGAGTTACAGAAAACAAGTCTCATTGTAAAGAGGGTCATTAGATTTACCTACGTGTTTCATGTTGGATCATTCAAATAATATTTCAACTGATGCCTGTGGCGTGGCGTAGAAGAGAGTGTCTTATATGAGTTTAGAGGCTAGGGAAGGTGTTGGGAACGCAGCTCAAAGAGTTAAAAGACGAAGTAAAAATAAAGAATAAAAAAAGTATATATATAGTATTATATAGAGATTTTATCTTTTGACAATTTTGAAAACTAAAATTCGAAAAACTTTATTTCCCCCAGATCGACGCACGGGAAGAGTTTAGTCTTACAAAAGTATGCCATATCCATACAAAAATCAAAACTCAATTCTGAAGTGTTTTTAGAAGACTTAGTATCTCTAAGGGCAATTGATACGTTTTGTGTCGATTTTCAGAATCGATTCTGAATACTATTTGTTTATTCATATTAAGTTAGTTAAGTATAAAGATTTTGATTGATCTTTTAAATAAGTTATTTATTATTGTTAATTTAACTGTGAATACAAAAGATTTTAATGTTTAAAAATAAATACAGTATGTTATATCTTTTTATTCGTGTCATTTAGTTATGTATAAAGTTTTTTTTTATTCGAATGCGCTAAAATTCGTAGTCATAAGTTTGTTAGTTAGATTGTGAATAATGCAATACAAAAAATTAATTGTATATTAAAATTATTTCAATCTTTGTTTTCTTACATTTTCATTCGCTAAAAACAAAAAAAAAGGTATTGTTATTAAATAAAAAATTCATATTTTGTCAACAATCATTTTTTCTGGGGTGGCTGATGATAAATGACCTAATCATTTGATCAAAATTCAAATAACCAATGACCAGGTCATTTGGGTCATTAAAGCCATTTGCATATAGAATAATTTTATTGGTCGAATTGGTCATAAAAATTATCGTAGATTGTTTTAGAGACCAATTTTAGTTGGTTAAAAGGTATTAGAATATTAATTAACATATGTTAAATGACCTAAGTCATTTATGCTTCAAATGACCCAATGACTAGTTATTTGTCATTTGGGTCATCTTACCATCTTTGTGTGCGATCCTTGTGTATACTTGACGATTCTGTGATATACCCAAATTATATGCAATTCTGTGGCAAAATTTGTCAGAACTTTCCGGAATTTGGGTTGACTTTTGACCTTCAGGGAACCGGGGGTGACCGCCCAAATAAGGGGGCCTGGCACCTTACGAAATTACCCGATTTTTCCGATTTTTTCCAATTTTTAAATTAATATTAGGGTTAGGGCTAGAGTGGGGTTAGGAACTAATTTATATATGGTAAAATCGCCTTCCGACACTTTTTACTTAGTCAACCAAGACCGGTTTGGATAGCCATTTTTTATATATTTCGTGTTTTTGTCTTTGCCGCCTCGCTTTGTTTTGTTCGGACTGATCCGGGTTATATGTCGGGTAATTTCGTAAGGTGCCAGGCTTTAAACGACCTAAACAAATGTTATACGAGCATTCCGTCCTTGCATATTTTCTAGACCAATCAAATTAGCAGTTTTAGATTTGAATTTCAAGATCGAGGTCTACCGAATAACTGATTGTAGTAGCAATTAATTGAAATTTTTTGAACTCAATTAAGTGGCAATTAGTTAATTAATTGCAATTTTGCATAATAGATTACATATCGTCATTAGAATTATTAATTACAGTAAATATACCTTGCGTTGTTTAACAAAATTGTATTACACTAGAATTAGTTGCAATTATTTTGTTATATTTGGGTTTCAATAAATTTTATGATAATTTTAATTGATTTTAATTGTTTGATGTATGGTAAAAATTAATCGCAATTAATTTTTCGATAAGTCTAATAGAAACAGTGTCTGATCCAAAGTGAATCCTTCTTGCCTGTAATCAATTACAAATTAAAATTATTTATATTGGATTCAATTGTAATGGATATAATTCCTCACCAGTCTTAATATATATATAACATTAATGATCTTTTGATTAAAATTAAGCAATTAAATAATATTATAATCAAAATAATTTAATAAAAAATTTACTAAAATTTTAATTATATTACAATAATATAATAATTTTATATAATTATGAATTTATTTACATTAATGATCAACTCTTCCTGATGATCTTCTGCACTAATTTTTCTATACATACTAATCTACAAAAATTATATAGTTAGTATGTTTATATACAACAAAATTTTACCATATAGCATCTGGGTTCAAGAGTTTCAAATTACATATGGGTTATATGAAAAAGAGTTGAAAAAAATAGCTTCTTGTGGATTTGGCTTTCCAGTAGAAATCTATGAAATTATTAAAAAAGTAATTTTGGTTACAACCAAGGAAGTTTTTGTTAAGTTATATCTGAATAGTAGCAAAGATAGAAGTCTGGTTGAATATATTATTTTATATAATGAAAACTTCTATACTCATTATAATTAATGTTTTAAAAAATTTTTTTCTCATTTTTTTTAAAAAAATTTTTATCAAAAAGTGAATATTCTAGCTTATTCTTATTGAAATTGGTATTATTAATTCTTTTAAATCAGAATTATTTATTAGTTTTATTCAAAAAGGATCTATATTGTAGATAAAGTATAAGTATACATGTCTTGAAAGAATATAACAATAAAATAAAATTGGAAATTTTCAATAAAAGATGAGATGATTAGTCAGAAATATGACAAGTATTAAAATATAAGATCTAATGAAAAGTATAATGAGTCATATATGAAGATGGATCCAGTGACAAGGAGTTGAGATGTCCAGTACATGAAAAATTCTTTGTCAATTCAATTTTGGTTAAATTGTTTTTCTTAAAATATAATTTTTAGTATTAAATATATTAATTAGATAGAGTTAAAGTAAAGATTACTGTATTTAGTAATATATAATTTTTAGTAGACTAATACAGTCTTTATAATTAGTGACTATTTGTTTGGTTTTTATCAGCAATTCCTTTTCCTTTTATTTCTTAATATTTGTTTTTTTTTTATATTTTTCTTTTATATATATATTTTTTTTAATATATTCTTTTTTAACAAGAAAATTTTTTTTGGTTTTTTATTTCTTTACAAATAAATAGTATCAGATTGGTGTTATTCAATTATAAGATGACAGACAGATGAGCTCAATTCAGACTTTAGCAGGTCTGGTACAGCAGGTCGCTCATAGGTACCAATTGGAGTAATCACATGATAATGACACATGAAGTTAGATATAGTTTTATTTGTATATTGTCTGTACTAAACATTTATAAATAAACTTCTGACTGGTTAATCATTGTGGCTGCCAAAGGTTAAAAAAAAAAAAAGAATTTATTTAAAATTTCAATAAAAAATTACAGTTTAAAAAATAAATTTTTTGTATTTTTAAATAAATTTGCTGTTATTGTTGTATTATCTATTATTGCTTTAATATCTGAATTATTCTCAATTATTTTTTTACTATCATTGTCAATGAATTCATTTTTGTCTAATTTGTTTACTAAACTTGCTCTAATTATTTCAATGTTTTTTTTAATTTCATCTTGAAGATATTTCAAACAAATCAAATATTTAAATTTATATTTTTGCATACAATGGCTATAATACCCATGCCCACATACAAAAACATTATTATCATTAGAGAAATTAGTATAGTTAGTACAATTACAGTATAAATAATTATATAAATCAGTTATAAATAACTTTCTGAATATAATAAATCTTCTAAAAAGATAACAATCTGTTATTTTGTAACCTAAAGAATGCAACTTATAGGTATTAATACTATTAGATAAATCAATAATCAAAGGACACAAATGGTGAACTTGATATATCTTTTCAAAAATATCTAAAAGCAATATAGTACACTTTTAAAAAAATGTATACAATTGCTTTGGTGTATACAGATATTTTACAGAATTAACAAAATAATATTAAAAATTATTATTTTCTCAATACTAAAAAATAAAGCATACTTCCTTTTGCAACTGATCTGTTATAAAAAACTTAAAAGTACATTGCCAAATAATATTATAAGTGACTTCTATAGAAGAATCACTTAATAAAACAAGATGAATTGTAATCATATTGATCATCAAGTAATTAATCTTTATTCAGTAAAAAATATTTGAAAAGAACATTAAAAGAGCATACTTATAGTTTTTTCAATTAAAATAAAGAAAAAGGTCAGTTTAGCAATGTATACATAACTCCTTATAAGCTGGCCAGTTACCTTCCTAATAGTAAATAATATAAATATTGAAAACTAATAGAATTAAATTATTTAACAGATTAGTTAAATATAAAAATTCAATATTTTTACAAGTATAACTGAATTTGAAGTAAACAGTGTCAATAATATCTAGTTATACTATATATATTATGTAGAGAATTAAATTGATTCACCATGGTTATAACTTCTTATCAAGATTTTTTTTTCTAAATATGCCTCTATAAATGTTATTAAAAAGAAATGAATTTTTTAAATAAACAAATTTATAGCCATTTAAGGATATATAAAGAGAACCTATTATAGGCAAAAATAATGTAATAAATAATAAAATAATTTTGTTGTTAAAAAGAATCTGATGTGCGATAGTTTTTTAAATGAAGAATTGGTTGGACCAGTCTGCAACAATAGGAATTACATTGTTTTTAAAATATTTTTGTATAATTTCTTGATCATGCACTATCTGAAGAGCTCTTGTATAATCTTTAACATTTTTCAAATTACTTCTAACAAAATTAATAAAGATAGAATTTTGTATATATTAATTAATTTTTTTCTCTACCAACCTGTTATTATAACTATACAAAATTAGTCTCTTCAAAAGTTCATTATCAGAACACTTACCTATATGATTCTGTATATGCTCATAATAAGAAATATTCAGATTAATAATAAATCATTTATTTAGATGTCTTATGATCAGTTTGTTATTAATAACTTTCAGATTGAGTACTCTGTTATATGATAGTAATAATATAGAATACAGATTTGCTAGAATTGTTATTATGTATGTCAGAATAGATGTATTAGTAAAGTCAGATTGCTGTAATATATAAATATTGTAATAATTATCAATATTCAACACAAATACTTTTTTGCATATTTAAAAATAACATCTTCTATATATTTCTTATAAGCATCTAAAATTTGTTTTTTCTTTCAATCAATTGCTTTTGACATTGTAGTTATACTGA